CCGTATAGGAGGGTCTGCACCACTTCAGCCTGGAGTAGTCGGATCTTGAGCTGGCGGTTGGCCCGTTTCCTGTCGTACATCGAAGTGCTGTTCCGGCGGTAGCACTTCCATGCTCGGCAGATGCGGCTCGTGATCTCCCGGTCGACCTTCCCATCCGCGCAGATGGTACGTCCGAGGTACACAAACCGATCTGTCTGCTTGTACGTCTGGCCAGCGGCGCTGACCGCGAACGGGCGTTCCCCCAGCCCTTTCGGTAGCATGCACATGATCTCCGTCTTTGGCTCCGATACCATCAGTCCGAACAGGCCGGCCACGCGCACGATGATGGACATCATCTTTTCGAGGCTCTCCGGCGTCTGCCCCCAACTCCAAGCGTGACTGTTAGGACACATAGTCCACATACATGGGGTTCTGAACATAAGTTGTTAGTGGCAGTTGGGACGTTTAAATAGGCTCGTGGAATATATCGCGGCCAACTGGAGATGGCCTACACTTCTGAAGCCTGTTCTGACGGTTGACGTGAAGAGATAGCAGAAGCAATGGTTAGCCCATATCCCATCCGACGGTTTTATGACTTGATTGCACGTCCGGGAAGATGTCTTTGAACCCCGCGGTGTTTTGGGTCATTCGTGTTTGATGCCGTCTGCAGAGGCACATTTGGCCAGTGGGCACGGTTACGGGGGGGTTAAAGTGACCTGTAACCCCTAGGCGTTGTACAACCTGCGTAACCCGGTCGGGCGCACCGTTGCCAACCTCCAAGGTCAGGCAGGGTTCGGAAACGCCGGCCCAAACCCAGTTAAGGGACATTTGTATCTGTGCTTGGTTGCAGGCGAGGTTGTCCAAGCCCGAGAGTGTCCATGCCTTGCCGCGAAAACTATGTAACAGCCGGTGTCCACAGAGTACACGACACACCGATTTTTTGGACGTTCGCGGCAATTAAAAAAAAAAGCTTCAATAGTGCCGGCATCTGTAAGCCCGATTTTATAGTTGACTACCGTTAGACGCGCAAAAATACAAACAGGACACCCCCCCCCCCATCTCCGCACCAGAACTATTTTGAAAGGAATCTCCTCCTCGTCGCTGATCTGCAACTAACTGCCCACCGGTCACCACGCGAGTAGCCCCTCACCCCTTCGTGAGTGCTAATTATCTTGCAGCTGTCGCGTTTTGGGGCCTCGGTTCTTTCACCACAAAGAAAGGCGGGTTCGTTCTTGTTCTTTACACCACGTCGGGCCTGAGCACGCACGTAAATGTTATTATTATTTTTTGTGGTCAATTTCTTTGATTTTGATTTTTTTCGAGCCCGCATTTCTTAATTCCCAAGTTCTTAAGTGCGAGTACCATATTTATCGTCTGATCATGATGTATTGCCGGAAGCAACATAGACATGGGTCTACTCTATTCTGATATGTATATTGCTGCCTAGAAACACGCACGGCAACGATCGGGGGGCAAAGCAAGGACTGAGAAAAAGAAAGAGAGAGAGTAGGCGATGATACACTACTTCTTTTATCCGTTGAGTGACGACTTTTCCACTCAATATCGCCAGATCACTAAGTAAGACCGACTTTCGTCTCTGTTCGACTTGTAGGTCACACAGTCAAGCTTCCTTTTGCCTTTGCACTCTACGATCGATTTCTGACCGATCTGAGGAAACCTTTGTACGCCTCCGAAGTATATACATATGCTGCCTCTNCACTACTTCTTTTATCCGTTGAGTGACGACTTTTCCACTCAATATCGCCAGATCACTAAGTAAGACCGACTTTCGTCTCTGTTCGACTTGTAGGTCACACAGTCAAGCTTCCTTTTGCCTTTGCACTCTACGATCGATTTCTGACCGATCTGAGGAAACCTTTGTACGCCTCCGAAGTATATACATATGCTGCCTCTCTCTGTAAAAGTCAATACGACAACACGTACGTACGTACGTCTGTCTCCTAAAAAAATATGATAATTGTGGTCGAACATAGTACTATTACATAAAAAAATCTCTACTGAAAAGAATTGCGCGCTCAGCACTAAATAATTCTATATACTTCGTATATATGTTGTTGCTGCTGTGGAACATAAAAACTTAGCTGACCAAAAACTTGCCATTGAACGATTGGTAATGGAAGATATTTCTCGGAGTTTCTGCTTTTTGCGTGGGGGGGAAGGCAGAGTAAGTGTGCTCNAATATGATAATTGTGGTCGAACATAGTACTATTACATAAAAAAATCTCTACTGAAAAGAATTGCGCGCTCAGCACTAAATAATTCTATATACTTCGTATATATGTTGTTGCTGCTGTGGAACATAAAAACTTAGCTGACCAAAAACTTGCCATTGAACGATTGGTAATGGAAGATATTTCTCGGAGTTTCTGCTTTTTGCGTGGGGGGGAAGGCAGAGTAAGTGTGCTCTTATCGGCCGCTTGGGTGATGCTGCCACAATTAATTGTTCCCGCCCCCATCACTATCCCCGGTGTTTGCCATCCGGGTTGGGNAGTATATACATATGCTGCCTCTCTCTGTAAAAGTCAATACGACAACACGTACGTACGTACGTCTGTCTCCTAAAAAAATATGATAATTGTGGTCGAACATAGTACTATTACATAAAAAAATCTCTACTGAAAAGAATTGCGCGCTCAGCACTAAATAATTCTATATACTTCGTATATATGTTGTTGCTGCTGTGGAACATAAAAACTTAGCTGACCAAAAACTTGCCATTGAACGATTGGTAATGGAAGATATTTCTCGGAGTTTCTGCTTTTTGCGTGGGGGGGAAGGCAGAGTAAGTGTGCTCTTATCGGCCGCTTGGGTGATGCTGCCACAATTAATTGTTCCCGCCCCCATCACTATCCCCGGTGTTTGCCATCCGGGTTGGGTTTTCGTCGCTTGGCAACGACGTTGTAAAACAAGCCCCCCCGTCGGTGTTTGCCATCGGGATTGATTGGGTTTTCGTCGCTTGGCAACGAAGTTGTAAAACAAGCCAATTCATTTCGTGAACTCGGCAACCAGGTTACCGTTTATTTGTACCTCTGTTTTTTTTTGGCGGTAACCTTACTGTTGGTCGAGTAGATCATGTTGTGCGGGGTCGAGAACCCTCACTCCGCGCAAAGGGGATGATCGCACCACGTTGTGTTAAAATGGTCAAGTACCCTCGAGGCAGTTACGCAGTGCTTACAACTGTCTCTGGGAGTGAAAGCACCAGAAAATATATTACCAAGTCATACGCAGCTGTCATCCGTGTGCAAGAAAGTAAGCACAACATGCCGAACACTTTTACTAGTAGGATGCAGCGCACCCTTCATGCGACTCGCCGAATATCTCACGACGCTTCGCGCTTGGTGATGTGAGAGCCTGGTCCGGTGAGAACCCGGCGTGCTCCGTCCCGGCTTTGTGGGGATGCGAGGTCGATAGTCTGAGGACTACGGCATGCACGACTATGAGGACACCCCCCCCATCAGCCTCCCCCCCGGTGTTTGCCATCGGGGTTGGGTTTTCGTCTCTTGGCAACGACGTTGTAAAACAAGCCTCCCCTCCCTCGGTGTTTGCCATCGCTATCGGGATTAACAACATATTCGCCTGATTGAGAGCGTAGCATCTGATTGAGAGCGAGATTGCGCGATACGCTGTAGCCGGACTACCACTGAGAGGTGGAGCTTGCTGTGTAGCTTGAATTGAAGGGCTAGCCCGTAGCTTCAAGCCGCTACCCTGGTCATCCTGTGGGAGTCTCTCGTTGTGGAGCTACAGCGGGGAGCAGAAGCTACAGCAGAGCCCACCGCCCGACGCGATACCGCCCTGAAACAGTTTGAGCAGAAATAGCCAATCTGGGCAAATCTAGCAACTTGTCTAGCTCCTCGCTGCAGCATCCGATGACGATGACACGCATATGCTCGCGAAGCTGCTGATGAGACCTTCAATTTGCACCGCTTCTTGGAATAGCCCGTCCCCTACTTGCCAAGAAATGGCAAGAGGCGTCTGGACCCGAAATTTCATTTTTTTTGGCTCTCGCTCTCAATCAGATACTTCGCTCTCAATCAGGCGAATATGTTGTTGATTGGGTTTTTGTCGCTTGGCAACGAAGTTGTACAACAAGCCAATTCACTTCGTGAACTCGGCAACCAGGTTACCGTTTTTTTTTTTCCTAGTTTAATTTTTTTTGGCGGTAACCATAATGAATGAATGGTGGTCGAGTAGATCATGTTGTGCGGGGTGAAGGACCCTCACTCCGCGCAAGGGGGATAATCGCACCATGTTGTGTTGAGGTGGTCAAGCACCCTCAAGGCAGTTACACAATGCGTACAACTGTCTCTGGAAGTGAAAACACCAGAAAGTAAATTAAGTCATACGCAGCTGTCATCCGTACACAAGGAAGTAAGCACAACATGCCGAACACCCTTAGCAGGATACAGCGCACCCTTCATGCGATTCGCCGAATACCTCACGGCGCTTCGCGCTTGGTGATGTGAGAGCCTGGTTCGGTGAGAACCCGGCGTGCTCCGTCCCGGCTTTGTAGGGATGCGAGGTCAATGGTCTAAAAACTACGGCATGCACGACTGACTATGAGTACCCCCCCCTGCCCCCCCCCCCCATCACTGTATATTCATCATGGATTTACTAGTTATATGTGATATGCTTCAACATATGGCGTAGCGGTACACCGATAGACTTTACAGTCACAGTTTGGTGGTTCGATCCCCTCTGCGTTGTGTGATGTTCCTGCGCTAGTCATCTCGAAAGAGAGGAAATTTGTCTGCCGATATATCGCTTGATTATCCCAACGGTAGAAGAGTGGAATACAACAACAAATGGAAGGGAGGGGAAAGCTCACACATATTTTTTCTTTGCTCCTCCTTCACACCAATCCGCGCATAACCGCTTTTTTCATAACCCGGCACGTAATGCCCGCTTGGCCCGTAACCCCCTCACGTTATCCCATGTAATAACCCCTCGTTGGCCGGAGGTTACACAACGTCCCCGTACAACCGTGCCCACTGGCCACCTGTGGGGGAGTCATCCTAGCGCCGACGAAATTCATCCGTGCCGGGACTAACGGACCAAAGCGGGAACGGTGGGGCGGCCGCAACACACAAGTCGGCAAGTTAGGTGGAACCTTCGTTCTTCTGGCGTTCCTATGTAATTAAATAGCGATTCTGCGTTTGACCCGTGCATGCTTTGGTTAACAGGTCTGTTGCACGTAACTCACAGCAGTTCACCTACTACATGCCGGATAGGTTGGTTTGAGAGTGGTGCTGCTGAGCAACTTAGCAGTGGTGCATGGCTTTCCGATCACGGACGAAATTTCCACCATGTACCGAAATAAAACAATTCTGAGAGCACATCGGCCGCGCTTGCAACTTCAGCTCGTCTAAACTGTTGAAGGCTGGCGTGCTTTCCGATGTTCCACGCATCTAGACTACTGTTGAAAAATTTGGTTAGGGATTAGACTGCAGGAACGGAACGGGGGAAACATGTAGCCTACATTCTTCGAGATACCGGCTTGTTCATCTTTTGTTTTACCATTTCTGTGATGATAGACTGGGTGGGCGTTCGTTCGAGAAGCAGGACTGCTCTCATAGCTCAGATGGTTAGAGCGTACGCTTAGTAAGCGTGAGGTCCGTGGTTCAACTCCGCGTGGGAGCTACTTCTTCTTTTGCTTCTTCCTCTTTTCTCTCGCTTTGTTCTTCTTGGCTTTGCCAACAAAAGCGCACCTAGTAGTCTATCATATGGGCCAGCCGGTACAACAACATATTCGCCTGATTGAGAGCGTAGCATCTGATTGAGAGCGAGATTGCGCGATACGCTGTAGCCGGACTACCACTGAGAGGTGGAGCTTGCTGTGTAGCTTGAATTGAAGGGCTAGCCCGTAGCTTCAAGCCGCTACCCTGGTCATCCTGTGGGAGTCTCTCGTTGTGGAGCTACAGCGGGGAGCAGAAGCTACAGCAGAGCCCACCGCCCGACGCGATACCGCCCTGAAACAGTTTGAGCAGAAATAGCCAATCTGGGCAAATCTAGCAACTTGTCTAGCTCCTCGCTGCAGCATCCGATGACGATGACACGCATATGCTCGCGAAGCTGCTGATGAGACCTTCAATTTGCACCGCTTCTTGGAATAGCCCGTCCCCTACTTGCCAAGAAATGGCAAGAGGCGTCTGGACCCGAAATTTCAATTTTTTTGGCTCTCGCTCTCAATCAGATACTTCGCTCTCAATCAGGCGAATATGTTGTTGTACGTGTTTCTCACAAATCCAACATGGAGCCTGTGCTACCAACAGAAATGACCCATCCCGCCAACTAAATCCCGTCATTATCCACGGGAGCCCGTGAAAAGTCATCCCGGACACGTAGGCAGCCCCCAAGGAAGGGGTGCTGAAAAATTCGAGTTCCCTCAGGTACATGCATTGGTCTGGTCAAATGAGCCATGGTGTGTGTAGAGCTGAAATCAAGAAGGGTGTCAGGGCCTCCCAAACCTCAACTCAATGCAGCTCGTTGTTTCAGGTGGGTTTAGAAACGCATGGCGTGCGGCGGAAATATTCTGTAAAAGAAAAACGTCAGCGCGTTCTACAGGTAACCGCTCGAAGCGGTGAAAGTACCATAGTCGCACAGCCCCTGAAGAGGGAAACGACCCAGTCAGAGGTTTGTCAGGGTCATTATCGTGAACGGCATCTACTATGTACAAAATGAAAATCGCTTTCGTGAGCGTGGAAAATGGAGAGGGTGGCGAAGAACACTTTGTAAATGAAACTGTTGATGGAACAACAGCGTAAGTAGGCAATTTATACCCTGGGCGAAAACAGAGGGTTGGTTGATCTCTTGAGAGAATTTCAGCCCTAAGGCTTCCTTGCTTGGAAACTAAAAACGCCATCCGGTCCGGTATTCTAGGGATTCCACCTAAAAAAACGCACGAATACAACGTGTTTGGAAAAACGCGTTTCAGAAAGTAGCGACGGTTGAAAAATCGTGTTTCGCTGTCTCCCCGCTAGCGCTGGTTGGAACCCCCCCCCGCGCTCTTGATATTTTTTCGGACATCAGCACCCCCTCTATTTTTTTAAAATTTCAGCAAACACGGAACACGCGGCGGCGTGATTTGGCGTGATGTTGGCACGCGCGTTGACGTCCTGAAGCAAATGGCGCGCCTACAGGGCGGTAAGATTCGGCATGAGAGGCATGGCCAAATCATGCAGATGATTACGACGGCTCTGCTGTGTGCGGTGGCTGGAGCGGAGGAGCTTTTCCTTGTCCTGGCGGTAGTGGTAATGCGGCAACTTCAATGCGTTCCCAACTCAAACCAAGCTCCCAACTAGAAACACGCCGCCAGGTGAACTGTGCTAACCCTGACTTCCAAGCACTTGACCGCTGGTGTGGCGGATGACTCGCTACCTCCCTCAAGGGGTGGGGATGCACACGAAGTCCGCCGTAGGATAGGCGGCTACCCCGGTCACTGGTGCGGGTGAAAAGCTGTCCCAACCACGCCCACCACGCACGCCGCCAGCACGTTCTTTTTAACACAATCGTTCACCGGAATATGACCCCAACGCGTGCCGGTTCCACACCAGTTGCCTCAGGGATTGATAGCTATGCTCTCGGAGTACGTGTCGTGTGGTAAGGTGGATGTGTGCGTGTGCGCGCATGCATGAAGTTTGTTTTTTTCAAACGCGAAAAAAAAAACGCACCACATGAAAAAAAAGCAGTCGAGCTGGACTGCAGAAATTCGTACGAAAAAGCGCAGCGGAACGTCGAAACACGGTTTTTTGGCGAAACACGTTTTTTTCGTGCGTTTTTCCCCGAGGTGGAATCCGTCTATTGAATGAAACAAATACAAGGATTGTGGCGGTTACGCCGCCACGCTTAGAGAAGCCACGCTTAGAGAAGCGATCCCAAGATTCACGAATAAAATTTCTAGGAATGTATCAGGCGAACAAAACATAAAGGACCCTGTTTGGGGTGCTCGGCAGAGTATACTGTCTACGGGGCCTCCGGGGGGTACGCAGATGGAATGTATTGACGGACATGCTGCATGGCGATGGTGTGGCCTACCGCATGTCTCTTACTCTCTAAGCAACAAGGTCTTGAGTCAATCTTCTTTCTCTTTCGGCCTCTGACGAGCTACCGCACCCAAACACAATACTTCCTCTGTCACATAAGTAAAGTCCGTTATGGGGGAATTTACATACCTCACCAGTCAAGGTGTTCCTGAAGCTCTAGTTAGGTTTGTTGGAAAGCGCTTGTTACGCACATAACTTAAAAAAAAATCCGACTCACAATTGCTGAGAATTAGTGTGTCAAATACGGGACTATTTTGCGAATATTTTGGGAATATTTTGAAAACATTTTGAGAATATTTTAAAGAATATTTGCAGCTTTGTGCTGTGTGAGCACCCACTACCACCACAACGACGTAGCTATCATGGGGGACGACGCCCAGACACCCCCACGTCGTAAGCGGGGTGCGGAAGTATCGTTGGGTCGTCGGTACGCCATGGCGGTTGAGATAATTCTTGTCTTTTTTTGGTATGTTTCGTTTCGTGCCCCCACCCCCACCCTCATGGAAAGGGGCAAAATACGGCCTTTTTTGGCCTGACTACTTTTTTGTAAGCCGCTAGTGCATGCAGGGTAGGGAGCAAGAAAAAAAAAGAAATATGGGTTTCAACCCGAAAAACGCTCAAGATTTCAAAAAAAGTATCGCCTAAGACATCGGACACGGCTAAATGGCCGTGTAATCATAACGGACTTTACTTATGTGACAGAGGAAGTATATTGTAAGGCCTGGTGTTGGTAGTGGGTATTGGCGTCTGAGCGGTGGGAGCTGGGCCATCGGGGCAGCGGACACCATTTTCACAGCTGGGATCGCGGCCAAAGGGGGCGAGGACAGCAGTGTTAAGGAGGACCCGATTCGCAGGGTATCCGTCGATTGACTTTATCCTGAATCGGCACACCTTCGCATATGGCGTCAGCTGGATACTGGTTCGAATCTCCTTGGGTGCACACTTTTTCTCCTGACTTGGATATTTTCCCATGGACACAATGTGTGTCAGTCCTGAGAAAACCTCTTGGAGTCGATCCTACAAAGAATCTTGTGACACTTCCATCGAATTACCCATCCTGGCCATAAGAGGTTCCCAGTAGAGGGTAAATTCTGTGGGTGGAGAGTGTTATGGAGGACCCGATTCGCAGGGTATCCGTCGATTGACTTTTACCTGAATCGGTACACCTTCGCAGCAGTGCATAGCTGGTGCGGTGGCCATTGCGGGGCCCGGAACAGCAGGGTTTATCGCTGGGACAGCACTTCGAGGCTGGGACAGCAGGGAGGGTTTAGAGTTTTAGTTTGATATGTCTGGAACGGAGGAGGACGCAACTCTGAGCGCGAGGTTGGATGGGCGCTACAAGCTATAGAGGAGGCCAAGGCTGAGACGCAGGAGGCCAATGCTGAGACGGAGGAGCTTAGGGCAGCACAGCGGCGGTCTGCGGGTGCACCTGCCGGCAGCAGCTCAGGAGGCGACGGTCTAGTTGCTCCTGGAGGGGCTTCATCTGCACCGGTGAGGCCAATGTGGCCAGGCGGGGTGAGTCATGATGGCGGTACTGGGGTGCCGGGCTTTCCTCTGGGATGTACAATTGTCAGAACTCCTGTGCCTAGAATCCCGCCTAATTGCACCGCCGACACCTTTCTCAGTTGGCGGAGACGCTTTCCGGCCTACGTGGACAACCACAATCTCCAGCTCACAATCTTCGGCAGTGCTGAGGTTCCCGTTATCAGTTGTCAGAATAAAGGATACTTGACACGCCAGTATGGTGCACAGCTCGTTGTTGAGCACAAGAGGACATGGAGTTTTTTCTTGGAGGCAGCGGTGGGGGCCCTATTTGAGAACAACCTGTACTCTTGCCATTCCGTGGCAGAGGCGTGGAGGANTTTTCCTCTGGGATGTACAATTGTCAGAACTCCTGTGCCTAGAATCCCGCCTAATTGCACCGCCGACACCTTTCTCAGTTGGCGGAGACGCTTTCCGGCCTACGTGGACAACCACAATCTCCAGCTCACAATCTTCGGCAGTGCTGAGGTTCCCGTTATCAGTTGTCAGAATAAAGGATACTTGACACGCCAGTATGGTGCACAGCTCGTTGTTGAGCACAAGAGGACATGGAGTTTTTTCTTGGAGGCAGCGGTGGGGGCCCTATTTGAGAACAACCTGTACTCTTGCCATTCCGTGGCAGAGGCGTGGAGGATGATGGAGGATTGGTTTTTGCCGAACCACCCAGCTGATTGTCAGCTCCTCGTCGCCGAGCTAGACAATATAACCATGAGTGATGATGAGGACCCCAAGCTTTTCTTCTCGCGCGTCGCACAACTGGGGACCAAGTTACGGGCTGTGGGCATTGCTAAGAGTGACCAGGAAGTTGTGCAGATCCTTGTGCGCCAACTCCCCGCACGCTACGATGTCGAGCAGCGCACCAGTCTTTCCAAGCGTGATTTAACCCGCGCTGAGTTGCAGGACGTCGTGCATGGTCGATATGCCACGATCAAGGCCAGCGAGATGAGGGAGCGAGGGTCGGCAGCTTCGACGCCGGCGGTTTCTGTCAACCCCCATGCTCTTGTTGTGGGCCGTGGTTTTGGACACGGCGGCAACGGGGGGAGCGGGGGGGGCGGAGGCCAACGGCGGAATGGCAACAACGGCGACGGCCGCGGGCAACACTGGTCCTCTGGGGGCGGTGTTGTCCAACAGCAACAGCCGCAGTTGCAAGTGCAGCAGTACCGGCAGCCGCAACAGCCGCAGCGGCAGGTGCATCAGCCTAACCAACAGCCGCAGCGGCAGGTGCAACAGTCGTACCCACAGCCGCAGCAGCAGATGCGACAGCAACAGCAGTACCAACAGCAGTCGCAGATGCAGCCGTACCGGCAGTCGCAGCAGCAGCCGCAGCAGCAGCCGCAGCAGCAGCAACAGCCCGCTTTGAACGGTGTTGGTGGCATCTACGATTGCGGTGGTAATGCCGTGTATCATCAGCCGGTATCACTACCTCCACCTGGCGCGCCGATGGGCACAGTGCACAGATGCGGGGAAGGCACGGTCACCACGCCATAGATTGCGCCGCCCCCCGAAGGTTCGAGGGCACGTGCGGTGCATGCGGCCAGTACGGTCACATGTGGCGCAACTGTGCCAAGAGCAACCGGCACCCCCACCTCAACGTCGTCGCTTCTGCTGGTGCCCTCGGTCCGGAGTACGCGTAGACCACCGCGGATACATCGGCCGTCCAATTTCGTGATGTCCTGGCGGCCGATGGCGTATACTACAGTGACACCATGCTGGCCGGCGCTGGTGGCGGTGGCAACGGTGGTGGTGGTGCTGGCGGTGGCGGCAGCGGCGGTGACAATGGCGGTGGTGGCGGTGGAGCGATCGTACAGCAGCAGGTAGTGACACCGGGCGATCCCTACTTTGATTTTGTCGACATTTTCCACGGCAGCGGCGGCGTGGAAATTGAAAATGGCGGCGGCAGCGGTGGTAGTGACGCGGCGGGAGCGGGCCCTGAGGCGCTTGGCAACGGTGAGGTTACCTTCGGTGGCGGTCTCTTCGCGATGCACCTTGTCTGTTCCGTTACCTCATCCCCCCCCGTGCGCGAACCATCCGACCTTTTCCCACATCGCCCGGGTTCGACGGTCTTCCTTGGAGACACCGGCGCCGTAGTCCACGTGGTCCCTTCTGGGGAAAAGGTGTACAACAGGCGCCCGCCGCTCCCGGAGGAGCGACTACTCATGCT